TACCAGGCTGAATAATCTTTGGGAGTTATCCTGAATGGATGGTATAGATGTAGCTGAAACTGATCTGAATTTGAGATTAATGGTTTATGTTGAATTTTCCTGCCGTAATACCATCTTGAGTAGCATTTTTTTTTTTTTTTTTTTTACATGATTTGACAATTTGAACTAAATTGTAACAATTACATGATTTGACAATTTGAACTAAATTGTAACAACCCAAGCCCGCCGCTAGCCGTTATTGTCCTCTCTGGGCTTTCCCTCAAGGTTTTAAAATGCATAGGTTAGGGAGAGATTTCCACACCTTTATAAAAAATGCTTCATTCTCCTTCTCAACCGATGTGGGATCTCACACAAATCATTTCTTATTTAGTTTAATTCCATACAATAGCGTGGCTACCATTTTCTTACTCATGTTTTGTATTGTTTGAGTAGATGGTTAATGCAATTATTATGCAGTCACCCTTTCAAAAGAAATCAAATATCTTTTAGAAAAACGTGGTTAAACCTCCTTTTAAGGATGTTGTCAGACTCTTTTCATGCTGGCCTTCTCATTTTATCCAAGTCTGCAGCCACTCTTTTATTCGCTTTGCCTATTGGAATTGTTTTCTATAATTTTTTCGACCTCGAGGGAGAGGATCGCTCGTTTCCTCTTCTTTATGAGCTTTGTTTTGTGCAATGTGACATGCTAACTTACAACTTACCATCTGATACTATCTTGACTGAAGGTCACACTAGAAGCTGAAGTTACAAACAAAGGAGCACTTGCACTATATGGTCGTCTCGGGTTTATAAGGGCGAAACGACTCTTTCATTATTACTTGAATGGAGTTGATGCATTTCGTCTTAAGTTATTATTTCCACACATGGAATCACACCCATCCTTGAGTTTGATGGCTAACAGAGACGATAATCGACGGGAAGGCGACAGTTTATAGCACGAATGGTACAATATCCCATCTATTTTTGAAGCTAGGCAATTTATGTGAACACTATTCACCCATTTTTCCTTCCATAGTTACTTTGTCCGCCAGCCATGTGATGTTGTGCATTAAACCCGACCCGAATGGTTCGTCTGATATCTGTTTGATGTTGTCCTTAGTAGTTAGAAGTGGACAGAGCTTTATAAAGTTGTTTATGCTGTAAATTTAGCCATCCAAGTTCTCCCTTTATGGCGTTGTAAACTTGTAATGGAATGAGAAACAGTTTTGATTATTTTGTCTATTTGAGAATGGGGATGAGAGATGGATGAGTTTATTGGAATAAAGGATTTTGATTTCCAGTTGAAACTTCTTAAGAAATTATAGGGTCTAAGCCAAATTATTGAAGTTCTTATGTTTTTGCCTTTCTAATTTTGAAGGTGGTGGTTATAGGTGCTTTATCCCAAGAGGTTTAACATATTTGATGTGGTTTCTTTGATTGGTAGAAGGTTAAATTGATTGGAGATAAAAATTTGTCTATTGTTAAGTTGTTTTTTGTGAGAGTTTTTAATGATTTAAGTTGTATATCAAATAAAAGTTACTCTGTTTGGAAGAGATTTTTTATGGTATAAATTAAATTGTTACATAAGTTGAGAAATTAAAGCAAAATTGATAGGCGAATGAACTCTAACAATAATTAACTATTTTTAAAACATATTTAAAACTATTTTTAAAACTCATACTGATTCAAAATCTATTTTTTTTTTATTACAAAAATTCTACTTTTAAATCTATAACTTCCTTTAAATGATCCTACTTTTAAATTTGAATTTATTTTTAAATCCTATTCAAAATTTATACTTTATATCTTATTTTTATTTTTTTTAAAGGTCAAAATTGTATCAAAATCGTAATCTGTGTAATCGGGTGTCAAAATATGTACAAAAAAAAAAATATGTACGTCTAAATTTGGTAGTAGTACGCCTAAATTTGGTGTCAAAATGTTATGTTACCTCTCAATTTGGTGTCAAAATGTTGTTCTAAATTTGTAACCTTAAATTTTGTCGTCAAAATGTTATGTTCTAAATTTGGTATGTTATGTCTGTCTAAATTTTGGTGAATGTTATGTCAGTCTAAATTTTGGTGTCAAAATGTTATGTTCTAAATTTGGTGTCTAAATGTTTATTTATGTTATGTAGGTCTAAATTTGGTGTCTAAATGTTTATTTATGTTATGTACGTCTAACTTTGGTGTCAAAATGTGATGTACTTATTAGTGTACATCTAAAATTGGTGGTGTCAAAATGTGATGTATTTTGAATACTTATTTGGTGTAAGTCTAAATTTGGTGTCAAAATGTGATGTACTTTTATCAAAATGTTATGTACGATCTAAATTTGATGTCAAAATGTGATACCGTGTCTAAACGTCTACATTTGGTGTCAAAATGTGATACTGGTGTCGTGTCTAAACGTCTAAATTTGGTGTCAAAATGTGATACTGATATCGTTCTAAATTTGTGATATTGGTGTCATTCTAAATTTGTGATACTGGTGTCGTTCTAAATTTGTGATACTCGTGTCGTTCTAAATGTGTCGTGTCTAAATTAAGTGTCACCGTGCATGTCAATTAAGTGTCACCGTGTCAAAATTAAGTGTCACCTTGTCAAAATTAAGTGTCACCGATGTCTAAATTAAGTGTCCCCGATGTCTAAATTAATTGTCACTCATGTCTAAATTAATCGAGTGTCTAAATTTAGTGTCAAAATCACATTTTATTATCTAAATCTAATCACATTCTATTGTCAAAATTTGGTGTCAAAATCACACTCTATTGTCTAAATTTGTTATAAATTGTCTAGCATATTGTCGGTTATAAATAGTGTCAACATGGATACCGTTATACATCATGTAAATTGAATACAGTGTCTAAATTTGGTGTCAAAATCAAACAAAATAAATACAGTGTCTTTGTGTCCAAATCAAAATCAATACTCTGTCTAAATTTGGTGTCAAAATCAAAAGCTACTTGTAATACAGTGTTAAGGTATCAAAATCCATATAAATTGGTGTCAAAATCAAAATCAGGTGGGTCAAAATCTGTATAAATCTAGTGTAACAATTTGTCTTTTCTTTACAGCAATCCTATTTTCAATCTTATTTTTATAATTCAGAATCCTCTCTCTCAATAGGACAATCCTAGGGTAACCATAGATTCAAAATTTATACCAGTCTCTTATTCTATTTTTACAATAGATCTCTCTTATAACAATCACAATACTATTTAAAATAATAGTATTTAAGATATGTACCAGTCTCCTCGAGAATCTTTATAACAAACTTATCTCTCCTAATAAGAATCTTTATAATTAAGATATGTACGGGTCTCTTACTTTTATTTATAACAATTCTATTTTTGCAATACTATTCAAAATCTCTATCGTCCCTCCTATATCATTCTTGTTTTTAAAACAAGTTTAAAATGTTCGTCCTACTCCGGATTCAAAATAGTATATTTTATCTCTTTGGGTATATTTTTATAATAAGATTCAAAATCTATGTCTCTTTCTCTGTAATTTTCCCATTTTAGAATAGTATTAAAAATTATTAAAAATTATAGAATTTAAAATGTCTCCGTGTCTCTTTCTTTATAAGAATCATATTTTTACAATAAGACTCAAAATCTCACGTCTCTAGATTTAAAATTAAGTCTCTCTTTATCCTATTTTTACCATCTTTCTTTACAACAATCTTATTTTTAGGATAGGATTCAAAATATGAACGGCTATGCTATAATAATGTTATTTTTAAAACACGTTTCAATCTCTATGTCTCACGTCTTAATCTCTGTTATCTGTTCTATGTGTCTCTCTCCCGTAACACGTTTCAAGTGTTGTTCTATGTGTCTCTCCCGTAACACGTTTCAAGTGTCTCTCTCCTGTAACACGTTCCAATTTCTATTCTCTATGTCTCACGTTTTAATCTCTGTTTTATGTGTCTCTCTTGTAACAATCTTAGTGTCTTAATCTCTGGTTCTATGTGTCTCTCTCCTGTAACAATCCTAGTGTCTCTCTGCTATAATAATGTTATTTTTTAAACACATTTCAATCTCTCTCTCTTCTATAACAATCTCAGTGTCTCTCTTCTATAACAATCCTATCAATCCTAGTGTCTCTATCCTATAACAGTTATAGTGTCTCTCTCTCCTATAATAATGCTATTTTTAAAACACGAACATGTGTCTCTCTCCTGTAACCATTCTAGTGTCTCTCCTATAAATGCTATTTTTAAAATACGTTTCAAAATCTTCTATTTTTAAAACACGATTCAAAATTGTGTCTCTCTTTCTTTATAAATTTATATTTTTAAAACACAACTGGTTGTTGCCGGGCACCAATTTCCACTAATACTTGTAGTGTTGTTGCAGCTACCTGCACAGAATACTTGTGGTGTTGCGGCTACCTGCACCAATTTCCACTAATACTTTTAAACAAGCGAAATCTCTTGATAATAAGTTTTTATTTGGACTCCTCTCGGAAATATCTTTAAAACTATAACTACCACATATAAATCTCGAACAAATTTAAATATACAAATTTATTAACTAAAACGCATAGAGAAGTTAATGCTATTATGATTATCCATGACAATGGTCTAGAATAGCATTGATTATTAATTTTATTTGAAAAGAACATTTAATAAGTGACCAAATTGCAAGTAAGTGACTTTATTGTTAGTCATAAACTGCATAGACATGTAGACATGAATCATGACATTCAGCTATATTAGAACCTAAAATTATGGTTGTATGATCCAATCCCTTTATGTATTCAATGTGTATCACTTTCTTAGCCATAGTTCGGAATGATTCCATTTATATACTAACAATAAAATATTTCGAAATAATTTTTAAAAGTATTTTGGTTATAATATTTTAAAAAATTGTTTAAATATATTGTAAAAAAAAAAAAAAAATCATTGGTATTTTGAAATACAATAAAAAGTTTGTGGGGTATTTTTGTAAATTAGGTTTAAATTTGTAACAAAATAGGCATTTAGCATGAGCCCGCGAGGTGATGATCCAAACCAACGACTGAAATCAAGCCCAGCGGGGAGCAGTAAACTCTGCACAGAAAACTTGCACGCTCTCCACACACCCTGAACCAAGCCGAAATCTTTTCAACGATTCCAAGCCTATCTTCATCTTCTTCTTCTTCTTCCCATAATCATTCGCTGTTTATCACCCGACCAAACTGAGAACAAATCAATGGACAGACTCACTTTAGCCCTAGCATCTCCTCCCAAGTTTGTGTTTCTCGGCTGCTCTTCTACTCCTACCTTCTCCACTGCCACCAGAACCAATCAATTATGCGGAACCAGGCGCTTCGCTACGTCCTGGATTAAATCTCGTCCCAGAATTTATGCTTCTGCCGTTAATCGTCGATCCAACCAACGTATTGTCGGTAATAGTCGAATTCGTTGTATAAATTGATATTTGAAAGTAGCTTGTAGTCAGTCTTCAGTAATTCACTCGGCTTCGCATTTCGTTGTTCTCTGTTTTGTTTCTTATCGTCAAAACCAGTGGCTGAACGGTTTGCGAGTGTTTCTTCTTCGACAACCACCAATGAATCGTCTTCTGTTGGTGTTCCATCAGTTTCGGTTCCTCCCCCTTCCTCTTATGTGTAAATTTTCGTTCCCTTATCTTTCAATTGTATGTTTCTGAAGTTCATTCTACACTTTTTTCCTGAGAAGAAACAGATTTGATTGAGTAGATATGACACAAAAAACTATGTTCAGTTCCTGGCAGCTTTGTTCTGTTCTGTTTTCTTTTTATTTTATAACTCTTTAATATTCTGGTTGTCTACTTTTTTAGAGGGTCGCCTCTCTTTTGGGTGGGTGTTGGTGTTGGGCTTTCAGCATTATTTACTTGGGTGAGTGAGAACCAAATCTGTATGTCTAAACTGCATATTTTTCTTATGCGGATGTGACTAAATTTATCAAGAAGCTTTTAGCCCGAATGTTCTTTTAACAAGTTCTAAAAATTTCAGGTGGCTTCTTACTTGAAGGTGAGTTTTCTTCATCAAGGTATGGGGATATAATTGTGCCTTATGTCCTTCGGGTGCTGTCGTTCCTGCTAGAGTCGGTCTTCCATAGCTCTCTCTTAGCTTGCTCTGATATTCTTCCTAAAATGTCTATTCTCTCTGCTTGGAGCTCTACACGATATCAGTCATTGAACGTAAGAAAAATATATGCTATCATTTTGGATTTCGGTATCATGACTCTGACGTTTCTTTGTGTATTAACAAAAGATGTAGGACTTACATGGGTCTAAGAGAGCCTAGTTACAGTTGAGGGAAATTCGGGAGTCTCCTTCTCTCCTACGTGTTACTACTTATCTTTTACATAAGCATCCGTCACATCTTTCTACTACTATAGTACTACTTATATTAGTTTTCTTTCAACCCTTTCCATTCTTCCATGAATACGTTGTCTCTTCATACTCTTACCCATTGACTAAGTTCTATCATTATTTAATAAATTGATCACCACCCTTTGCACGCTTTCTTTTGTAAACAGTAATGATCGGTGGCCTATCCCAAAGTTCTGTTTCCCTTATAAAAAGATTCATGTGTTCAATGAACCTAGTACAAATTACCTATCTGTGTGTTTTTCTTGTATATAAATTACAACTTGGATCATTACTAACCTTGACCTATCTGTGTGTTTCTTTTGTTCCTATGAATTTCATTTCAATTGTGTTTTAGAAATATGCTATGCAACAAGCTTTCAAGACGATGATGTCTCAAATGAATTCTCAAAATGGCCCAATGAGTAATCCTTCACCATCCGGATCACCTTTTCCAATACCTCCAACATTTGGGACTGGCAGAGCAGTTTCTCCATCTGTTTCTGAACCTGCTCCATCAATTGATGTACCAGCAACAAAAGTTGAAGACAAACCAGTTACTACTGCCAAAATTGTGACAGAGGACAAGGAAGCAAAGAATTTTGGTACCCAAGGATTCTCCTCCAATTACATTATTTCAATATGATGGTTTTCTTGATTGATCAATTATGATTTGATTTTGATTTATGCGCTCCAAAGAGAATACTCTCTTGACTGGAGGCTCGAATGTTAGGGATAAATTGCAAGGTTTGCAGTTTTGTACTTCTGATGAGCTTAAAACTAAAAAAACTTCAGGGTTTTATTGTTTTTCTTCTTCTTGGTATTGGGGTGTGAACAATGCGTTCCATAATCTTCTGGATTAGTTTGTGAAGTGCCCTATATGGATACCTGGAACTATCGATGAATTTTTTGTATGGTTTATGCTCTTTCTTGTTCCTTTTCTAATAATTACGAACCATTCAAGTACTTAATTGCCTGTGTGGATGTATATTTGTTAGTTTTTTTAGATGTCTTTTGAGGAATTTTAGAAATTCCATTTCTGCTGTCTAAGTGCAACATTCCACCACTTTGCTTGTAGTAAGATTCTTAGATAAGTAGGTCCTTAATAACTAGAGATATGTGAAAGGAGGTTTGGCAATCTCCACCCCTTAATGTCAAGGCTTCAATTCTTTTGGAATAGGCTTCACAAAATCTAGTGTAATAGGTGACAGGTCCCATTCTCATTTCTTGATTGTACCAGCACAGTAGTATGCAATCATTGTAAATATATGCACATATATTTCGATTGCAGATGTTCCAGCCAGTCTATGTGCTTCTTCTAAGCTAACTTTATAAGATATTAATTTGAATTTTCTGACATTTCGTATCAAGACTCGGAAGGATTTATAATATCTACTTTTCACAGCTTTTGTAGACGTTGCTCCAGAAGAAATGGAGCAAAAGAGTCCGTTCAAAGAAGATACAGTGGACTCGAGTGTTCCAAAGAGTTCTCAGCCTACTGAGGAAGTAAGTTTTTTTTTGGTAGTTGTGATGGCTTGCGTTGATATGTTGATTTACTCTTTGATTTATTTATGAAGCTTCCACAGAATGGAGCTGCTTCTAAGCCGGCTTTTGATGGTTCAGAGGGATCACAATTCAGCCGTAAGTTGATAATAATCAATGATAATATTTCTTCGTTAATGTTATTCTTTTTTCCACCCTCTCCGTTTTCTCTCTGTACAAGTCTTAAATAGAAAGTAAAGCCAAATAGATGATAACTTAAAGTCCAGTCTTGAAAGATAAGAGCTTAGGAAAATCCTTGATCTACATATGGCACGACCCTTATAAAATTTAAACCATTATGTGATATTTCTGTCTCATACAAATAATTTATTTTATATTTCTTTGATCTTGTTATTTTTCTGCTGCTAGGTGCGCAATTCATGATTGAATGTATATTATCACAGTTTAGTTATCACATAAAATTTAATATAGTCTCTGACATTCTTGCCTATTAGGGAAACCTGGCTCAGTCTTATCAGTGGAAGCTGTGGAGAAAATGATGGAAGATCCGACAGTGCAGAAGATGATATATCCGTAAGCAGCTTTTACTCTTTATCTACTTCATCATTTTGGAATTTTTATGATTTGGTTTCCTCATATATATATGTATGTTTATATCAGTGAAAACTCATTGCTGTATCCGAAATAAAAATGTAAAAGTAATGTGCAGAAATAGACATTATTTCACACATTTGAATGCGAAGAACTTGCAATACATCAAGCCAATTTGGTAATAATAATCCAAGGATGGGGACTTTGATCCCTGTACGGGTTCTGTAGTTCCAAACTGTACTTGCTATATAATAGAGTTCCATAGAGGATAATATAGAGGAGTTCTTCACGATCTCTTGGAGATTTAAGCCTGATTTTCATACTGGATATTGCCCGAGCTAGCCCACTTATTTATTTATTTATTTTAATGATAGGAATTACTATTCCACCTGGAAAAATGACTACCTTCATGCACCCTTTCCTCAAGGAAATCTCATAATTTTCTCAGTAGTCCTGATGATATTTATTGACATTTTGCATAAGTAGGAATATTAGAGAGGATGAAATAAGTGTAGCTCTGCCACCTTTTGAAAAGTAAGTGCTCTTCCATCCCTTTCATCTTCTCTTTCTCACAGGTGTTGGAGTTAACAATTCCCCTCTTTTCAAACTCAGATGATATCTTTGAGAAACCCTGTTTCTAAAATTTCTCCTAGATTTTTGGAGTTTCACTGCTGAAATCATCAACTTGGGGTGTTCTTATCAACCAGCTCAAGGATAGGCTTTCTGATTTTCACCTATTTAATGTGTCTTAAGGCTCATCTTGGAAGTTTCAGCAGTAGGAGACACTCCGGGGAAATTCAAATGAAAGCTGCTTTAACTGGGTTAATGGTTTTAGTGCTGTCTATAGTTACTCTCTCATTTTCTCCAAGTCAGTGAGGATCCTAACAACTGCCTTTCCTGCCTGTTGATAAAACACCTCTTTTACCATTAGTTATTCTGAAAGAATGATGTACATGTATTTTCATGTCTTGTCATAGGGCCAGAATCAGATACAATGACTTCCTTGCACCAATTCTTTCTTTTCATTAAATTGAGGTTTTGATTAGAAGACTTTCCATTATGCATGAATGTTAATTTTGATTTCGGCCATGTCCTGGGCATTCAATGCCCTCTTATTTTCTAGGTGCATATCTTTTCTGCCTTTTGGGATCTTTTATTGCTCGTCTTATTGAATATACATGTGGCTTGTATGATCATTTTCTGAAGCAGCTTAGAGCTAAATTTGGTTCCTGAATACTTGAAATTGTGTTGATATCTGAAAGAAAGTGTACTTGTTTTTCATCTTACAGCCATTTGCCCGAGGAGATGAGAAATCCAGAAACATTTAAGTGTAAGTCTATTGATTATTACATCATCAGTCATTATGCCTTCTATTAAGCAATGAGAAAGGAGGATATAAATCAATAAGATGAAGAAAAGGGCCCATGGGCGTTTCTGATGAAGATAGAAGAAGAAACACAGAGAGGGAGGGTGGTTATGCTGGAAGTAAATAAGAAGAAAATTAATTAACCAATAAGACAAAACATACGTGTGAACAAAGTGTGAACAAAGTGGGCGCAGTGAATGCATGGAAGAAATTAACTTTACCAAGTGATTGTAACAAGATGCAAGACAAGTTTTTCAATGCTATTTTAATGTTCTAGAATAAAAATCTTAAAGGGTCGCATATTTGGTAGTATTATTCTTCAGCAGCCTCTCAGATATATAAAGGTGAGAGATACAATAAATAGCCTACACTTTTTACCCTTTTTTATTATTAACATTTAAATTCAGATTATGGATCTTATTAACAACATTGGAATTTCTAAACATTTATTTTAAACTTGATAACCTAGAATAAATTTCTCGAGTTCCTGTGATTTTCTTGGGAGCATACTTGGAACTTGGAAGATGGGTAACATATGCTTGGTTTGGAATTTTACTTGATCAGTTACTTTATTGCTTAATCTCCAACATGGCATCCCTTATTAATTGAACTATATTGAATAGGGATGATGCAAAATCCACAGTATCGTCAACAATTAGAAGAAATGCTGTAAGTACAGTTTCTTTATTCTTGTTTTTCTTCTTTAAAAAGTAATTATTTAATTCTGTTCATAGGCTTCTTATATATTATCTTAGTTTGAGAGCCATCTTTGATGTTGCTTTCTTTACTTTTGTGTGCTTGCAAACTTCTGAAACCATACCTGAGTCTTGTATTTGATTTTATTGACGTATGCAATTGCAGAACATGCTTGGTGATATTGGAATCTAAAGTTTTTCCTATTCAGCATGATTTGTAATTTAAATGCATAATGCAATTTATCCTGTGTTCCATATTATTTTAAGCTAATATTTATCTAAAGTTCATTTTTTATGCCTTGTACATCATTTCATAATTTTCAATAAAAGCTTAGTTTCTTATTAAAAAAATTATATCCAAGGTTCGTGTAAAGGGTCACTTTTATCTGGTTTCTATAGACCCTTTCATAGTCTATGTATAGCTTATTTTCTTCAGGCGGCCTTCCTATGCTCTCCATTCTCAATTCCAAGCAAGTTTTCGAACCAAACATTTGCCATTCAGTCAGTTAAAGAACTCCGATTTAATCTAAAAGTAGGAAGAGGATTTGAACTTAAAGTATGTTTGAGTTAGCTTTTAATACTTCTGTCATAACATTGACTTGTGGGTTGCGACTAAGAATAAGATTTTCTAAACTTTCGCCCCTTCTTTTGAGCTTATGTGAACTTGATGTTGATACTTCGTGGAGATAGTATTGTTTCCTCATGGTAAGTGGCTTTTGGAGTGGCCTGGTTGGAGCCATAGAGGATTATAGGAAAGGTCTTAGTAGATAGATTGAAAGTGGTCTTTAGCCATACCATAACCCATAACTCAACTCTTAAGCCTTAAGTAGGTTGTCTGAGTTATTTATTTAACAAAAAAAACCATGGTGGTCGCCTGCTTGTAATGTTAAAGTCCTATGAGTTTTTCAACATTTGAATATTGAAAGATCAAGTGACCTTAGTTACTCAGTCATTGAGAAGATATAAAAAAGTTATTTTTTTTATAATTTATAGAGTTTAATGATCTTTATTTGCGCAGTACTTAATATAGAATTTTATTTTTATTTCATATATGCCAGACATGCGAAATGGTAATCGCACTACTTCTAGTTCTAGTTTCAATGCCTTCTCATTTTATTTTTTTATCATATTTTCTTTTAGACTCCTTGGTGTGAGAGGAATGGGAGGATTTTTAATGATCGACACTCCTCCTTTGGTAGTTTTATAGATTTGCTCCTTTTTAATGCTCTCTATTCGTGTAAATGTGTAGTCCTTTTAGATTTTCAGTATTTCTTTCTCCATTACGAATTGGCGAGATTTCTTGCAGAGTTGCTAATATGTTTGAAGTATATGCTATAACACCATCTTCTAACGTGATGTTTTTTCTACTTTAATTATTAATCTCAGTAACAATATGAGTGGAGGCCCTCAATTGGACGACAGTCTCATGGATTCCTTGAAAAACTTCGATCTAAACAGCCCTGAAGTTAAGCAGCAATTTGGTCAGTCAAATCGTTCTTTTTTGCTTTTGTACATTCTGCTTGATTACTATTCTCTGGTCGGCATTTTCTATGGCACCCTATGTTTCATATATAGATGAAATGCGGATGATGTATATGATTTTCTGTGACTGATGCAATCATATAATGCCAGTCTTAAAAATATGGACCGACATTTTGTTGTTTTGTTGTTTTGTTGTCAAAATAATTGATAAGCTCAGAAGTCTGTCAACTTTGCTTCGGTTTTGGTTTTCTGATGCTAATGTTTGTTTCTCTTCTTACAGCAATGCAGAAATTGATTTAAATATACTCTTTCAATTGAATTGCAAGATTACGATTCATGCATACTCAAAATTAATAGTTTCATTTATTGTATCTATATGTTTTTGTGAGTTCATTGGTGTCTGGTTGGAAATGAAAATCAAAACGGTTTTGTTTTTAAGAATAAAAAACAGTTTTTTTCCACATATAAGAGACTGCAAAAACAAAATCATATTCTTTTCACATGTTTTTTCAATTCATTATTCATTTATAAATATTACAAATAACTGAGCCTACTCTTTCTTTCTGCAACTATGACAGATCAAATCGGGCTTACACCTGACCAAGTTATTTCAAAGATTATGGCCAATCCAGAAATCGCTATGGCATTTCAAAATCCAAGAGTTCAGGCAGCCATCATGGAAGTATGTTTTACTGAAGGTTCATACATTTTTTTGTTCAAATTTAACATTTTGATTTTACTTTTTGCAGTGTTCACAAAACCCACTGAGTATAACAAAGTATCAAAATGACAAAGAGGTACATTAAATTGATACTGTTCTTGTACTTTCATCTTTCATGCGGTTTATATAGAACTCGAACGAAGTAGAGTTATGCCGACTACATGTTGACATAAACTCAGAATTGCATTTTACTGATTCTGGTGGTGGGAGGGTTATTTTTGTAGATTGTTAATATATATTTTATATCCTTAACTTGTCATTCTCAGCTGCACTTTGCACCTTTCTAGTTTCATTGAGTTAACGAAATAAAAAACATCATCACACTACATTCTGTTCTTTCACATGTGCAGTGAATTGTCTCAATTTGTCTTTGTTGAATACCCCTCATGTAATATTTTGGGCTTATTTTTCTTATCCTTTTGGCAGATCGCATTGATCTCCATTACTTCATTTCTTTAAATATGTATCAATATGATTCACTCTAAACAAATTCTAATGTTATACCTTTTCTGTTTGGGTGCACTTGTAGGTCATGGACGTTTTCAATAAAATATCAGAACTATTCCCTGGAGTTTCTGGGTCACCATGATAATTGTAACTATTTTGGTTGATAAAGAGTACATGACAAGATAAGAATCAAATATGGAAGATTGAGCATGCTTCCTTCCCGTCCATTGTGAAATAAGTTGGAGAAGATGGTCATCTCTTCGTAATGAAGTTAGCTGAGTCGGTCTCGCCTGCTTCGATTACATGAGTTATATTGGATTTTTCGGGTGAGCTAATTCTTTTTTCCCTTTCAAAACCAAAGTTTCTTTTTCCGAGTATTACCATCTGGAGGTCATGTATTTATTAGTGGCTTTGCATTTAATCAACTTCGTAGGAACCTCTTCTTTATATAGTGGTTAGATTGATTGTAAGGGACTTTTAAGCTCATTGATATATCAAGGTAGTCAATGTAGTTTATAAGTAATTTTGGCGTATTCTTATTTCCCTTCAATTGAATCACATTATTGGAAGTATTGCTGAGTAAAAATATCACCACCCTTTATTAAGACATTAGAAGTGACATATATGTTTGATTTTCCATTTTCATCCATATATTCTTCCTGATTGATGATGGATCAACTGTCAAATATGAGCTACAATGAGGGTTGTCAGTCGGGTTGGAGCTCTTTAATTGACCAGGGAATAAAAGTTTTGATAGTTCACTTTACCTTTACCTATGCAGTCGGAGCCCGTCTTGAAGGTGGAGATTTTTTGTTTAGACAGGGAATGGAGATGGAGTGGGGGATAAATGGGCTCAAGACGGGATTATATTCTTAGTCTCTGCCTAATTCCTCACCTTTTCCCGCTCAATATAAATATATTTTCAATACATAATAAAAAAAAATTATATATATATATATATATATATATATATATATATATATATGCTTTGTCTATAGTGAGACTTTAATTGTAATATTTAAACTAAAAATTTATTGTAGATTTTTTTAATTGGTAAAGACGGTGGTAATATTAAAATTAATTATGTTAATAGTACATGAAATGAAATAAGTGACGAGAATGAGAATAAGGAGGACTTTTCTGTTTAGAAATTATGTTAATAGTACATGAAATGAAATAAGTGACGAGGATGAGAATAAGGAGGACTTTTCTGTCTCCCTTTAAACTAAATTCACTCATACTAACTAACGTCTACAATCTTTTCTTACTAGAGTTTTTATTTCAACATGCAGCACTTTGAATCAAACATGGAATGGAATCAATTTTTTTTTAGATATCAAAATGAATTTCTAAAGTAGCCTGAAGCTCCAAAACTTTGGTTTGGTTAAAAACAGTTGCATAGGTTTGAGACCAGGAAGCTAAGGGAAAAAGCTCCACAACTTCTTCTCCACACGTGTTTTGTTATCTTATTTTTCTTTGGATAATTTGAAAACGAACCCAATTAAAATGGTGATTTGTATAACTAGTATATTAATTTGGATGAAATTGCTCGTACTAATTTTCCTTTTTCTGCAAAGAACAATCTCCAGGATATGCACGTTTGAATGTGACGATTGTGATATCTATTTGATGATAACACTATTGAGATCCAAACTTCGGCACTAAATTGTATGCAATGCACGTTCATCATTGTATTCTACATGTTATTTCCAATACTTTGTGTTTATATGTCAAGTTATAAGATCGAAAAACAAAAGATTGGAAAGAGTATTACGATCATTGGCTGGAGAATCGAGAACCTTCGTTTATCTTTCTAAATTCTGGATAAAATGTCAGAAATGGCCATCACAATGTTATCGTAGCACTGCCGAACTCGTTCCGCATCTTTATCTCTCGCTGCATAATCCATCTGCAAATCGTCAAAATTGAAGAACAGGAGTTGAATTGAAGAACAGAAGAGTTGAATTGAAGAAGATCATTAAGGCATTGTCAAGCTTCAAACGATCAAATCAAACTTACTCGAGTAACATTGTTGAAGAGAAGAGAATAGAGTTTCCTGAGAGGAGGTCGCTCGGCAGGCGGTTTATATTCAATTATAGTGTACAGATCCTGTTTCAGCAGCGGCGAACTGGTTCTCAACTGCTTCTGCGCTTCCTTCCAAGACTCCGATTCAATTAAACCTCTCACCTGCAAAACCGCTTCCGCATGGCCTCTGATTCCGCTCTCCGCCTCCTCGAAGCTCTGCTCCGGCGCTATCAATTTCAGATCCAAAGCATTCGCTATTCTCACAGGCGTCGAGGCTACAGACGACGACGCCATTAAAGCTATCAATCCCAGCCCTAATCTTCTGCTTATGCTTCTGCAATTGCTACAACGCTTGGCTGTGATGCTGAACAATTGGGAGGAGTTTATAGGAGGAGAAGAAGAAGAGAAATGGATACGATTACTGAGGTTCGAGACTGAGATTGGGCTTAATTCCGCCATTGAAGTACAGAGTGAGGCTTCATCCTGATCTCTGTCTATTTATAGAAACGAGAAGCTCGGAATGTGCCACGTCAGCAAGAGAGAATTTTATCAGATTTATTTATTTAAAATCTTATGTAATTATTATTATGTTACGGTAAAAACAAATAAAAGCTTAATTTCAAATAGTTATCATTAATCAAATCACATTAACGTCCTATATGGACTTTCCTGGTAGATACATCACAGTCGACTAATTTGATCATATCTCAACAGTTTAATATATATTTTTGATCAAATTTTGAACACAACGTGTGAGTGTAAAGTTTCTAACTTCAGATCATTCTTTTAAAATTATAAAATCATAATTAGTCGAGTAAAATTTAGATTGATTCTCAATACAATACTATAACCATGATCCAAGAACCATGTTTGTTTGGTTGTTTCTCCTTCTCCTCGTCAGCGGTGAATACAGGGAGGCTTCTAGGGAATACAAACCCTAGCACAACAAGCACTCCTTTTAACGTCTTCATGTCCCTCCTGTGTGACAACAAGGGTCCCATCATATGCACAAGCAACTCTAGTGAAGAGCAAACCTTGAGCTAAACTAAAAGCACGAAGCCTAGCACAACAAGCACTTCTTTTTACATCTTCATGTCCCTCCGGTGTTGCGACAAGGGTCCCATCATATGCACAAGCAACTGCAGTAAGGAGCAAACCTTGAGATAAACCGCTAGAAGCAGGCAAGAAAAAGACCCCCTAAATAGATTATCAAAGAAAAAAGCCCCGCTCCCATTGAAGGAAAAAGATTAACATTTGGCACGTTAGGGGTATCATGCCACTTTGGTAAGTGGATAATCCTAATGGTAGAAAAAACTCCCTCCCATTTGATAACCTATGAAGAAAAGAACATGTGAGACGATAAATCAGATTCGAGACAACATAACTAAAGGAACAAATGGAGCAAGATGATCAAAATGAACAGCTCGAGACGTTCAACGTGTAATATTTCTTATCCAAGTAAACGACGTGCGTGTATTTTAACCGGTCTTTGAAAATGATAGTTGTTTGAGAGTATTTATAAGCAAAGGAATTATGAATACAAAGAGTTTACACACACTGATCTAATTTGAAGGCATTCATTCAACTGCATATCTAGTTTGATTCCAAGTTCCAAAGTAAACGTCTTCCAAACGCTCGTACAGTTCCCCTAATAGCTCAGTATTCCAACGAACCAACAGACGGTAGCCCCGAAACATTTTCGGCTTCGTTGCCACCACTGGTTAGTCGCTGACCATCGATAGGGTTGAAGGACTCGATTACCTGTTCCCTTAGTTCCTGAACGTCTTGAGGAGAAAGTATCTTGATATACCAAACATTATTGACAAACGCCCTGCAACATATAAGAACAGTACATGCAGAATTAGCAGACAGGAATTTTGGACAGGATACGAAATTCTTCGTCTCAGAAGTCGATACCAGTTGAGAAAACCATGTGCAGTTCGGTTACTGTTAAAGAGAAGTTTTGAAGAAATTTAGGACACGAAACGACGAGCTTTTGCTTTTCAGTATTAAACGAAAACAATTCGGAACGATGGTACCATTTCCATTCTAAGCATAAGTCTATAAAGGGGATGCATGGAGTGAATATACTGTTGAGCTCAGGCTATTTAAAAGGAAAGGCGTCCGAGTACTTACTCCCAAGGGTCGTCTCCAAGGAGAAGTGCATCGTTCTCCCTGTCGACAAATACAAGCTGCCAGCCTGATCTACGAGGGTCTTCCAACTGTCCCTCTATGCCAAACATCTGAGCCAGCTCCTCTCGCAGCTCCTGATAGCTACTGAACCGGGAGATGTCTAGCGAACGTCCAATGGACCCGGTTTTGTAAACCTGCAAGAAAAGGATTTATAAGCCAGCACACAACTAAGATAACAGAATTCACCACGTGCATTTGCCCAGTTCAAACCTTCACAAATGTCTGAGTTGGATTCGACGGATCAACTTGCCCCGAGTTGTGCAATAACTCGGAAGAGCCTTGAACACAATTGTACAAAGAGTTCTGAAATCCAGAATCTCCCAGTGGCATTGAGGTTGAATCAGGAGCAATTGATGGAGAAGCATAAGTGGGCACATTAGAGGGAAGCAGAAGCCCAGATGAATCAATATTAACACCAAAAAGTGTAGGACTTGGAGAATCTGAATTACAATTTCCCAGCTCCAAAATCGAGTCTCTACCAGAAAATGGAAAGGACATCGAGTTTGGGTGAGCGTCAACCGGTGAGTGAGCGTTCTTAGAAACAGGAGATTGTTGAGGTAACTGCTCGGTTAAGATCGATTGCCCGCTTCTATAAATATTGGAAAGATTTCCAGTCCCTTCAGCACATGATGAAGCAATTATGTTTCTTCTAGAGGAAATGGATTCTGGGTAATTTGAATTCGAATCCATAAGGTTTGATCTGGGAAACGTGGGCGATGGCACATTTGAATGCCCGCCCTGATGAAATTGATTGCTTTGAACCTGAACGGTATCGTGATACGTATGCTGTTGCTGGTTCGGCAGATCCTCGGGTTGATTTTGTAGCGTTTGCTGAAGAATATGTTGGGGTAGGTTTTCTGCCATAACTTGGGTTGGTGCTTGCAGGATGTTCTGAGGCATAGATTGTTGAACCAATTGCTGTTGTTGCAGCTGCAACAGAGAATTATGGAGGCCTGCCTGTTGAGCGTACTGGAACGGCTGTTGAAGATGCATAATTTGCTGTCTCAGCATATCGACACCTCCAAGGTTCGGCATTCCAGCAGCCAACATGGCTTGATACTGTTGGTTATGATCATTTCCAAACATGGAAGAATCAAGTCTCTGCTGCAACCAGGGCAGTGAACCCGCGGATTGCAAATTCAACGAGTGTAGAGCTTGTTCCCCGACTCCTCCCCGTAGCCACATTAAGCCATTCGATGCATCATCTCTGTTATCTGTAAGGAAATAGACCATTACAAAACGTCGTGACCCGTGAGCATAAGCAATCCCTGGTAAATGACAAAACAGGGTGCCAAAATTTCCTACAACAAGCCATAAAAAAATGGAATGATAGAAGATACACAGGAGCACGAGGAATGCATTAACAAAATATCGATATGCTGATATGGAAGAAATAATCCATCAAAAACAAGAATCCAATAACAAAATAGAGATACATTTTGAAATCTGGAACCAGAAAGAAGCACAGGTAATAGCATCAATGTGAGTTCCCACCTCGGTTGGGAGGAGAACAAAACATTTTTTATAAGGGTGTGGAAACCTCTCCCTAGTAGACACATTTTAAAAACCTTAAGGGAAGTCCGAAAGGGAAACTCAAAGAGAACAATATCTGCTAGCGGTGGGCTTGGGCTGTTACAGATGGCATCAGAGCTAGACACGGTAGGGTGTGGAAACCTCTCCCTAGCAGACACATTTTAAAAACCTTAAGGGAAGTCCAAAAGTGAAATCTCAAAGAGGACAATATCTGCTAGCAATATACTTAGACAGTTACAAGTGGTATTAGAGCTAGACACCAGGCAATATACCAGTGAGGAGGCTGAGCCCCAAAGGGGGTGGACACGAGGCAGTGTGCTAGTAAGGCGCTGGGCCCTGAAGGGGATGGATTGGGGGGTCCCACATCGATTGAAGAAGGGAATTTGTGCTAGCCAGGACGCGGGGCCTCGGGGGAGTGAGATTGTGAGATCCCACATCGGTTGGGGAGGAGAACAAAGCATTCATTATGAGGGTGTAGAAACCTCTCCTTAGCAGATGCACGTTTTAAAAACCTTGAAGGGAAGCCCGAAAGGAAAAGCCCAAAGAGGAAAATATCTGCTAGTAGTAAGCTTGGGCTCGGGAATTTTTTAAAAAGCTGCCAGCAAACGTAATCCAAAAGGAACGTGCGGTCCCAATCATGTTAACTCCCCTTCTTTATCCTCACACTTCTGCACAGACTCCAACCAGTAATCCAAAATCAATTCATTTGATACCTAAAGTAAATATTTTTATCCACTTAAATTTTCCATCTCAAGAACATGCATTACAAAGCATCAAAATCCAAAATACAAAACGAATACCATGAACAGACGAGACTCCAGGATGCCATGGACGTTTCAATCGAAGCGGAAAAAGGGAAGGGTACATCGGAAATGTAGTTAACGGCTCAATTTCCCACAACGATACCCTTGGCTGCCTCTCCCCAGCTGTTGACTCATCCCACCCGACCTGCAAAAGGACATAGTAACACAAATAAAGGCCAATGGTCAAGGTACTGAAAGGAACAAATTCTCTCCATTGCTATCTAATGTTATGGTTTACGGAATAACAAATTAATAATTCACAAAACCTTCATAGTAGAAAAGCTGACACTGAACTGCTGAAGTTTTAGAACAAAATCATTTGAGCACCCTAAACGACGAATGTCAAACCGACAATCTTTTCCGTATACCAAAAAATACTACTAAACTTTAAATATATTTGAAGTGCATTAAAGCATATAACACCGTTGGAGTTGGGTTTTCAGACCACTGTTCGTATAACCATAGACCTTTTCTGTACTGAAACTACTGTAAGAGAGTTTAACTCATATTTAAACAACCAAAAGATGAGGATTGTACTCTAATTTTGAGCGACCGAAAAGAACACGAGTTACTAAATCAGCCGTACAGTAGAGAAAATAGTCATTCCTACTTGAGGCGAAAATCTTAGCATATCGTACTACATTAAGTAGAGAGAAAGATAATGTGATAGCAAATGGAGCAAGTGTTTTTGTGGAACTGTTGTAGAAATAAAGCTGAAACACCTTGACAGAACGCCAATGAGAATTCGACCAACGAACAGGATCGAGATCACTTATTCCAGTTATAGTACCCATGTACCTGACAATTCAACTATCCACATATTAGCATGCAGAAACATGCATATGCCCGAAATAAAAGGTAGAATTTGAACCTCGACACTGTCGAAGAATGCAATAAAAGTAACAATCTATATTTCATATTAAGTCTTTGTCTAATACTTTTGCTATATCTCTACATAGTCACAGATTATATCTCTACATAGTCACTAAAGCCAAAAGAGAAAATTTTCTTTAGAAAAAAGCTCAAAGAGAAACATAAAATCTAATAAGGGACCGAACATCACTCGATGATCTCTCAAGCCCTCTAATTATTTCTCTCCTCCCAAAGCTCCCACGAGATGATACTCTAACTTGCCACGAAAACTTTTGTTTCGAGCAAAAGGGGGAATTTAGAAGGAAATCCTTGATCGTCTTTCTGCAACCCCTCTAGCTAGCCAAATCGAGACCGGACTTTCAGATAACAAATTCCAAACAGCGTAATCTACATCGCAACTTAAGCAGCCCCCAACAATGAATGGAACACCAAGGCCCCACTAAGTTCACATTTCTCCACCCTATCTAAGGTGTTACTATTTCGTGGAGGATCTGCCAAGCAAAAAACATAACCTTTTTGTGAATTTTCATCTTCCACGATGAAGTGAAGTCAAAATCACTCGAAGGAGAGCGATTGACTAGGTAAGAAAAAAGGATCTAAACGAAAAGCCAACAATCAGACTAGGACTCCAACATGAACATATCACCTCGCCCGAGTACAATGAAACTCCCCCAGAAAAGAAGGTTGACAACTTCCCAAGCTTTCTTATCAAACAAAAAAAGCTTTGGAAACCCAACATAAACAAATGAGAGGGCCCAAGCTGAGGCAAAACATGAAAAGAAAGGGTATTTAGCAGTACCTTTCTGGTCTAGACCTTTCGTTTCCCGTTTTGGTAGGAAAAAGAACTGCACATAAAAAATGGCATATACAAGTAGGGGAAAAACACCTCAACCAAGGATTGCAATTTGCAAAGAACGCCTCATATTGTTCAAACCTCCCGCCATGTACATCGGGACAATTATTTCCTTGGTGGTGACCTCAAATTTGGGTGCTTTTTATAAGTTTTTTCCTTTTTTCTTTTTGCATATGTAACTACGAATACTTAATTTTCTATAGAAAAAACTGTCCAGAAAGTGATGCATGCAACCAGCACACTATTTTTCTAGTTAAACAATAAAAATAATATCAATGCCATAACATTTGCACTACTTGACAGAAATTCAAAGGAATCTAGCCATAAAGTATAATGCACTCATCATACACTGTCAGTTCGTTATTGATTAGCCATTCAGCTTCATTAAAAATAAAATGAGAAAAATAACATCTAAAACCAATGGTCACTGAAGACGGAAGCTTGTACAAAAAGCAAGATATGCACCCTACCCCAGGTCTGAAACCACTGTTCACATCCGTTCCTTCTCTTTTTCAGTAATATTTTCGGCAAGCAATAAGTGAAGTTCACGTACATTAGATGTGAGAAAACAGAGAGGGAACTGAGAACTAGGAACAAGTTAACTGATTGTAACACAGGCAGTCAGTGATGTGCTATCTGGAGTGTTGGCCTTGTATAAGTCTACAAAAAAAGTGGGTAAAAGTTGTTAGATGCCATGAGATACAAGGGGTGGGGATAAAGAAAGAAGGATGGGCAGATATAGGAAGTCAGTTCCCTTAGTTTCAGGAGGAGGAGGTAGAAAAGCTAAGTGCAGCAATCTACCAAACGTAACCCAGAGCGGTATGAGGGAGTGAAATAGAAATACGTGCATCCAACCCCATTTGAACAGCCGACTTTTTTAACCTTTTCTGTTTTTACCTTTTCCTAATAATTAGTTTGGAAGGTTACTTAGTTGGGGGAGAGACCCGTGTGCATTGTTTCTTTTATCTTTATATTTATCATTTTCCTGATAAGAGGTTGCATTCGGGGGCCTCTATTTTGCCCTCTTTTGATAACTCCTGGTCACTATCCTCGGGGTTTCGTCATCCTCTCACTGACGAAGGGGCAATTACAATTGTTGATCTCGTTACTATCTTTTTTGATCAGATGTTCCATCATGGAAGAAGGGATTCTAGGTTTTGGGTTCCCAAACCCCTGAGTCTCCCTGTAGCTCATTTTTCCATCTCTCTAGCATCCCTTCTCCCACCCAAGGAGCTTCTACGATCTCCTCTCTTTGGAAGGTTAAAAAATCTTACAAAAGTGAAACTATTTGCCAGGCAAGTAGTGCATGAGGGATTGAACACAAAGGAACATTTCTCAAGATTTCATCTTTCATGTTGCGGTCACAATGGTGAGTTATGACCATCTTTTGTAGGATTATTTGCTCGCTTTCACCATCGTAGATACTTTTCAAAACCATTGAGGTGGATATAACTCGTAACAGAGAGTGTTATTCAAGCAGAGAGTGTTGTTCCATGATTGAGGAGAAAATCCTCCTTTAAGTGACAAAGGGAAAGGTTTATAGAAAGCTTTGACTTGAGGAATAAAGAATCTTATGAAGGTTCAAGAGGATGAGTGAAGAGCTTTGGGAGTCCGTTAGATTAACTCGTCTTTCTTTTCGACTAGGATTCATTCTAGTAATTGAATTTTTGGGTTTTTTCTGTTGTTAGCTCGCTTTTTTAATGTTCATTTCTTTGCATGAAAGCATTTCTTCTTGTTAAAAAAGGGCATTGGGACAAAAGAGAAATATTTGTATAGTTCAAGTTTCAAATATCTATACAATTTCTATCACAGAAATCACTTCAATTCACTAAATGTGACCCCTTCCCCATCCTTGACCCCCCTCCCCACAAAAAGTTCCTCCTGATCTTCTTAGATCTCACCTTCCCGAAACCTAAAATTATGGAAAAAAGAGAAAAGAAAAGAAAAAGGAATATGTGAGATCCCACGTTGGTCGGAGAAGGGAACGAAGCATTACTAATAAAAATGTGGGCACGTTTTAAAACCTTGAAGGGAAGCCCAGAAGGGAAAGCTCAAAGAGGACAATATTTGTTAGCACTGGGCTTGGGCTGTTACAAATAGTATCATACCTAGACACTGGACAGTGTGTCATCGAAGACGTTGGGCCTCCAAGGGGGTGGATTGTGAGATCTCACATCGGTTGGAGAGGGAAACTAAGCATTCCTTATAAGAGTGTGGAAACCTCTCTCTAGTAGACGCGTTTCAAAACTGTGAGGCTAACGACAATACGTAACGAGCCAAAGCAGACAATATCTACTAATAGTGGGCGTGGGCCGTAAAAGAATACCACTCAAGCCAAACTTTACCTCTTGTAGAGGTGTAGTAGCCTTTCTAGCAAGATGAAAGTCATCTTTGAACCTTTTCCACCATCATATCCAACAAGTTTCCAGAATTACCAAGCTAAACCCTTGGAAAAAAAACACCAATTCTTATACATGTCACAATCCAATTCTCATCTTTCTACACCGAGGAGAAGCTGGCTTCTTGGATTGATGCGAAAAGTCAACCATAGTTCATGTTAATCCTTTGGTTCCTAAAACAGAGGGAAAAGCATTCTCTTCTATAGTTTGGTACACAATTGACCTACAATAATATTTCCAACTTCAAGAACCTTCGAAAAACTGATTTTGGATACCTCGAGAATCTATGGTGCACTCAATAAATTTCTTCAAAACTACGCCATTGCAGTGCAATTCATCTCAATTACCTAATAATAATCGTGTTCCTGCCACAATGTTGAAAGACATCGATATATTTCGTGACAGTTATTCTCTCTTGCTTCATGGCTTCGGTCATTATAAGTCATTATCTTGATTTAATTTCATAAATTTGAGCAACATCTCGAGCCTTGAATAAGTGCAGTGCATGAAGTCCCATATGGCTAGTGCACTATGTAAAAACATAGATGTATCACTAATGGATGGCTCCATAGAACTCCAGAGCCATGACATTATCATGGAATCTTCCTCATCCCATGTAATAAACCTAGGATCTGGCTTCCCTGATTTTGTTCCAATGAGGTGTCGAAGTTTTCCCCTTCACTTAAGGTAAGCACACATTTTTTAGAGCATTTGAGGATTTTTTTCCCGTTGATTCGGTATAACAATCAAATCGGTTGCAGATCACCTTTCATTTGAACCGTGGGAACTTCCTCTATTGGCGATGAGAATTTTGATTCTTCCGACATGATAGAGTAGCAAAGAAGAAACTAGTGAGTCTTAGCACAGAATCTCGAGGATCAAAGCAAAGAAAGTTGCTATCCAAGTGGCCCAAGTGATTCTTAGTCTAGGATTATGATTAAAGCTCGATCGTTTTGTCTGGACTAACGCTTTTGTCCAAGTGGGCTAAGTGGGATTGAAGCACGTGATTGGAATGGGCCTTAAATGGGGAAATTGTTTGGAAGCAGGTGGGTTAAGAGCAGCTGTCAATGGGCTGGATCTCAGAACCTTGCGAATCCTGGAAATCGTGAAGGTTTATCCAAAATTACGGCTACTAGAAGTCCGAGAATTCTTTTGCAAATCGGCAACAGATCAGAGTGAAACTTAGTTATGATGGACGAACCAGCCGGATGACACCACAAAATGATCTTGCTTTTCCTCATTCCAAAGTTTTTCATCACTGAATTTCCAAACCATTCTTGTGGCCAATGCTTTAATCAAAATAAGGATTTACGAAGACGACATACCTGTCCTTTCGAGCAACAAACCTAGAGGTTGCTCCATATACATCTCTTCTAGAAGGTCACCATGAAAAAAGTCATTTTTAATATCAAGCTCATGCAAGGGTCAGTGATGAATAGATGCAAATTAAACGAATAACCTAACAAAAGCCAATTTAGTAGCCAGAGAAAAAGTATCAGAATAGTCAACTCCATAAGTTCGTGTGCAGCCTTTAACACTAAAAGGAGCTTTCAACCAGGCTACAGATCCACCTGCATCGACTTTGATTGCGCCAACAATACGCTTCTTTTCTATTGGAAGATAAACTAAGTCACAAGGTATAGTTGTAATCTAAGGTAGTCATCTCCTCCAACAAGGCAACCAAGATGAAACAAAACCTCATGAACAGTCTTAGAACAAATATAGACTACAGAGACCTAACGAAAGAACAGGAAGAAGAGGGCAAAAGGTTATATCAAACAAAAGAGGAAATAGGATAAGTGTACTGATGTTTACCTTTACAAAGAGCAATAGGAAGATCGAAAAAGTGTCTGGCATAGGTCATATAATTAAAGGAGCTGGTTGTCTAGGATAAATCTGAGTGATAGGTAGGAGCGTAAAAACGGGTACAGATTGAGGTGGGAGGTGGATCATTAGAAGGCTCTCACAAGAAGAGAGTAACGTAAATAATAAAATCTTCTTTTTTATGCTCGACGAGACTCTTACTCAAAGGTGGAGAAAATAAAGAAGAATCTTCAAAGAAGTGGCATCAAGAGAGAAAAAATATCGATCGAGACTAGAACTATAACACTGATACCCTTTTTGAACATGAGAATAACCTTGGAACATATATTTTAAAGACTTTGGATCTAGTTTAGTGGGTCGACAGCGAACAAAGCAAGTACAACTAAATATATTGGTTGTAAGAGAAAATGAAGGTTGTTTGAGACGAAGTACGATACGATACGGTACCTCCTTGCAAACCGAGGAGGGCATGCAATTTTTTAAGAATTAAGGTGTCGATACACCAACCTAAAGATACACGGAATATGCATCTGGAAGATTAAGGCTTGATAGGGATTCAATGTTCACTTAAATAAGAACTAACATTGTGAGAGAAGTAATTTTTAGCATTATCACTCGTTAGAACTTGAAGAGAACCACTAAATCGAGTTTGAATTTCAACATGGAAGTGCTGAAGAGGGAAGTATACAAGAATGTTCTTAAATCAAACGGATTATAATAAACTATTTAAACTTATCATACCTTCGAACGCTCGACTCTTCAGTCTCAAAAAGCATCCGAAAACGCATCCCTACTGAAACACGGGTATGAAATACAGCTTTAACATATTTTGTCAGAGGGATGACAAACTCTGATGGGCTAGCCCTGTAATCATTTTTTACAGAAGAAAACGTTTTAAGAAGGGTCAAAAATTAAATTATAAAAAAGCTATAACAGTAGTAAAATAAAAGAATATTTCAAAACCTGGGGTTGTAGAAAACTGTGAAACAGCTATTGGTTGCGGCAGCATGAGCAGCAGCCGCAAGGAGTCCAATGTGCATGCTATCACTTGATAAAACAGAGGAGGGCATCACAGTTTGTGGTCTTGTGGCACGGCGTATACCCAAAAGAAGCTGATTTTTTTCGTTCCTAGATAAGTGATTCAGGGTGTTCAAATTATGAACTCTGAAATAGGACACATAGAATGAAAACGCAAGGCGGAAAATGGAGTAGTTACCATATAAAAAGTACAGAATCCCCAGCAACCAATCTTTTGGCACTAACAAACACACTCCAACCAGTTGTAAGAAGATGTCGTTTTGGCTGTCCTGTGACAACAAAGATAATAAGCCATGTCAGCTGCTGATGTAGTTTACAGTTCCCGAATCGATTTTTAAGTTGAAAAACAGACTTTCCATGAGAAATGATAGTGCAATATAAGAAACCCCAAGCAACCTTTACAAAAGGCAAGCAATCAGAATATGAGAACATCTTTCCCCGTCTATCTTTTATCTCGATTGTTTTTGGGATAAAACCACAAATATTTTACTCAAAATCGATACGAGCTTTTGAACAATCTAGTAAATTAACGGTTTGGGAAGAAACGTTAACAAGGCCTCCAAAGGGCTCTCCAATGGCTTCAAAAGTGCTTCTTTTCCAGTATGACAAAGGTAATTTTTTTAAAGAAATCCATTCTTCATAACCTTCAATGAACTCCAGATGAAAATGCTCGTCATAACATCAATTTTCAACTTCAAATATAATTCTCCAAAAAGCCCTCATTTACCTTCAAATTTTTTTTAAGGAATTATTCAACAAATTTCAACAAAGCCTTATCAGTCATGAATGGATTGATTAAAATCCTAGAGAGAGAACAGTCTTCTAGAGCTTTTTGAATTTCCTACCAAGACTTATGAACAAACAGCCCGAAAACCACAAAAATTTCATTAAAATTCAAATTCATCACTTCTTAAGCTTTTATTACCCAAAAAGATGATCTAGCAAAAGTCCTTTCAAAATTCTTGTATGCTTTTGTGAGATTCCACATTGGTTGGAGAGAGGAACGAATCATTCCTTATAAGGGTGTGGAAATCTCTCCCTAATAGACGCGTTTTAAAACCTACAAGAGAAGCCCAAAGAGGACAACAGTTTCTAGAGGTGGACTTGGGTTGTTACAAATGGTATCAGAGCTATGCACCAGGCAGTGTGCTAGCGAAGACGCTGGCCCCCCAAGGGGGATGGATTGTGAGATCCCACATCGGTTGGAAAGGAGAACGAAGCATTCCTTATAAGGGTGTGGAAACCTCTCCCTAACAGACGCGTTTTAAAACCTTCAGGGAAAGTCTAGAAAGAAAGCTTAAAGAGGACGATAACGGTGCTTGGGCTGTTCCAGCTTTCCTCATTTCTTTAGAAAATCCCTTAACCTTTCCCATAAGACAAGGCAACTTTTTTGTCCAGACTGATAGGAACTCGTAACATCTTCCTACCACCGGAAGGAGGCCAAACCACACAATTAAAGCACCAACCATGGAAGGATCTATATTAAACGAAATGTACCAGAAGCACCTCTGTCCTATTTAAAGAAGTGTGAATACATTGGATATTGCAAAATTTCTGCCAAATAGCACTCAAACCATTGAAGAAGGTGGACGACAAAGGTATCACTTCCTTGTTTTTCATATATTCAACAAAAAAAAAAAAAAAAAAAAATCTTTGTTCAGACCAATTACAGAAATAAATATTACGAACACAACTCCTAATCTCCATGACGCTAAAGATGCACCAAATAAAACTCGAAGTAATAGACTCAGACAAAAGAAACTAACCAGAATACTGGTTGACAAAAACAGAAGGTGAGCATACATACATAACCTCCTAACTAATAATGTTACGCTTGAACTCAAAAACCAAAGATATGAAATGGCGAATGGAGGCTTCACGTTGAAAGAGTTGGTGAGAGCATTTTCAGGGCCAGGGGGTCCTTCGTATGTTTCTACCCGTTATGTAATTCAATGTTTATACTCTAATACGAACCAACCTCTCTTGGAAGTGAATTTTATTTGCAAAACAAAGTGTCTTACGTTTGAAGAACTTGATATCACGATTACTTCGAAGAAAAAGCAAAAATGATAGATTAATAAGTTCCTTGACAGCTTCATTTCAAATGCCAACTAAAACTGAATGCTTAGTGCACACTACAAATAAATTGGTTGAACTAAGATCAAAGAAAAGGTAGAAGATAACTTAAAAACCTTCAACAGAGAAACTTTGGCACTTATTTCCACAAATGGACAGAACATAAGGGGACTTGCCTCGAAAAATATGCCTAAACTTCCATTCAACATCATGAAGATCCCGTGCAATCAGCTCTTGTGCCGGTGGCTGCTGTGAGAAGTCCTGCAGGGCCATACCAAAGAAAGATGGGAAAAGTCATCCATCATATCCAACAGAATCATATAACAGAATATATGTACGTACCAGTGGAGGAAAAACTTTCTCAGCCGCACGACGAGGTACAGAGAATCCTCCATGAGTGCTCGTATCACTTGCAGTCAACGTCTTGCAAAAGTAATTTGTTGGCTGTCTACTTGGAATCCCCAATTCCATAGGTAGAAATGTATCCTTTTGCTCTTGCTGTATGTATGAAGAATTTGAGCAAAGGAATTAACAAATGAAGCAAGAACTGAAAGAGAAATACAGTTGTAAAGATATTTTACTGCAGTCAGCGGCTGTAATGTCATTTGAGCGTATACTTCATCCGTTTCCACATCTGCCTGAAATGTCACACATACAAACAAATCCTGTTTTAGAGTTCTCGCACCTTAGATTAATCTAATTTCATCATTAATGGTTAATGAGTGATTAATTGTGAGATCCCACGTCAGTTGGATAGAAGAACGAATGGAAACCTCTCCCTAACCAAACGCGTTTTAAAAATCTTGAGGGGAAGTCCAAAGAGGTCAATATCTGCTAGCGGTGGGCTTGAGCCGTTACATTAATGGAAGATTTACGCATTAAAAACATTAATTGTGAAAGGAAAAGGCTAAATACACTCAAATTACATGAAATATAGAGAACCCACATGCATCGTAACGTTGTGAAGTTGACATATCAACTGGGGAGGCAGGTTCGGGTAATTCGGGATATGCCCATCAACTTCTTTGTTGGTTGTGGCAGCAACCTACAAACACACAAGAAATCAACAGAAAAGTCCTTTCAAATTTCATTTCCTCCACAAGCTTATCCAATGACAACTAACTAAACTACTGCACTAAGTTGCATATCAAATGGGGAGCCGCAATAATGGAAATTTTCATTTTCGAACTAAAAAGAAAAAGGAAAAAAGAACAAAAAAAAAAAAACATGGAACCTGTTCGCTGTGCCCCTGAGGGAAGTAGACAACCCGAGTCCCAGAAGTTGGGAGGGACACAAGGGGCCCCGCGCATGCATGCCATAGCTCTGAATTCAAGCATTTCTTTTCCCCTCCTATAATCATCATCATTATTACAACGCCATAATTAAAGCTCAGCACAGCAGTGATCAAAATTAATGGCGGGAGATGAGGGAACCATAGCATTTAATAAAGGGGAGAGAAAAACAAGAAGCACATAATAATAACTCAAAAACAGGATTTGAAGCGTCCCAAATTGAAAGAAAACAGGGAAAATCATATCATACCTTCGTGATCCTGCTGACCAAACCCTGATGTTGAAAGCTTCATATCAAGCTTTACCCAATCACTAAAAAAGGTCTCAAAACACAAAAAAATCAAAAACAAAAAAGAATAGTAAAACCCTAATGGACAGGACAAGAACCCTGCCGGAAACTCATACCTCTCAATCGATAACATTAAGAAGATTCTTCCGCTGCCTAAACCCAACGCAATCGCTCACAACCCCACCACGCTCTCCCATCTCCCCGGCCCCAAATCAAACCAACCCAATATCCATCGCTCTCCAAAACACAGAATCGTTAAGGGTTTAAGCAGAAAACCCCCCCCCCCCAAAAAATCCCCAATAAAACTCGAAGCAAACAAATTCAAACCTCGATCAATCGACCCATAAAAAGGCAATCCATACAAGATCCCCACGACAGAAAAACGATCAAGTGGGGAAACTGAGAAATAAGTGAAAAATTAGCACAAAAAAAAGGTCACCCACTGACAAACAAGTGTAGAGTAAGGCGGTAGTAGCTGAATCGGGACTGACTGAGAATGTCAGTGAGTACAAATACACAGAGAGAAAGAGTAAAAGAGAAGAAGTGGGTTCTTCATTGGAGCTAAGCTTGTTCCAAAAACTGAAAGATGAGAGAGAAAGAAAGGGAGAGGAGAGAGAAAGCACGGTCAAGGCAAAGCAGAGTCTGTGTTTACTGTAATGTCAAGAAGAGTGAGAAAAAGAGAAAATCTAAAACCAAAAAAAAATAAAGAGAGAAATGGAGTCCAGGAGATACTAATTTACAACGAAGCAATCTAAGCCCTTCATCTATCCGTACCTTTTAATCCTCACCGTTCATTCTCCCTTTGATTTGACAGCAGGCATGTGCCACCATCCTCCAGTGGTCCTTGTCAGAAAGTACGGATTATGTTAAATAATCACATTTTTTCCTTTTTTTTTTCTTTTTTTTCTTTTTCTTTTTCTTTTTCTTTTTTTTTTTAGTTTCCTGTTTCCTAAAATATCTTTGGTTTTATTTTAGTTTTTAGAAATATGCAAAATTTCAAAATTTGTGATCTTTTAAAAATGTATCATTTTTTATTTTTATTTTGGTTGAATTTTATTAAATAATGTACTCATTAATTATAAATTTTTTAAATTAGGTTCATTTTCGTTATATTCATTATTCTGTTCCTTTATTTAAATTTTTATTTTTAATAATGAGTAATTTGTGATTGGCAGTTCCATTTTAATATATATTTCGAAATTTTATATTCTAAATAATTAAATATGATTTTTAAGGGTGGATAGAAAATAAATAATTATAAATTAAATAAAATTATGATGGTATCCTAAAGAAAAATATATATTTTAAAATTAATAATAAATTTAGTAGTTCAGTTCAACCCATTCTAGTTCTAACCGATGATTAAATTTTTTAAACACATCTTAAATTAGCTACGTGGTTGAGCAAAAATTTGACTATAATATAGATCGGACTAAAGGTGAAAGTGCATTTGTCGAGACCATTTTTAATTGTTAGTTATTTTCAAGCATAATATAAAAATATTTCATGTTTTTATTTATATTTCAGGTAAGATAACTCGTGACAGCCGGGTTAATCATAAACTCAGTAAAATCAGAACTAACAACAATATATTAGAAATATAAACTGTGTAATTCAAGTAGATGATAGATAACTAACTTTCCACACACGTATTGGTCATAGTACTACTTAAGAACAAGACTTTTGAGGTTTCAAGGCGAAAAGCATGCTTTAAAAAAAGTAAAACGTGTTCGAGGTACCAATAAATGACATGCATGTAAAACATATCAAATCAATGTTAAAACTTCTATTCAAAAAGTTCGTTATGTTCATCGGCTCTCTCGTTCCTAATAAACTAGGAGTTGTGCTGAGATAAATATGTTCGAACCAAAAGATTGAAATAAAAATATTACAATTATGAAGTAACTCAATAATTATCTCTCTACCCGTGTTATAGGCTTTTGAAAAAGGATGAGTATTAAAAATATTCAGTATGAGTAGATATACATACGTAAATAGGACAAGAACAAGCAAATTCAATTAGCCATTTTTTTTTTAAATGGGTAACTCGCTCGTATAGCCTAACCCTAACAACACATAGAGACATGAAACTTAATCATGTCAATAGCCTCGAGTGCTTAACAGAGAAGCTATGAGCCTAAACGACATAGTTATGTGAATATCCACAGACAGTATGGTTCATAGAAAACAAAAAAGTTGGCATGAATATGCTAGATTGGTCGAAAACCATATAAAGAGAAAAGACTCAACTGTACTTTGTTCGTGGAGACATATTTATACTCACAAACTTTGGAGTTTATCTTAATAAAAACTCTAATTATTATATCAATTAAAATCTTGAACCTTTACATATGCGTCAATTTGTACGAGCTTCGTGGACTCATAATTTTATTAATTAAACTATGAACAATTTTAAAGGAATTAATTTAGATTATCAATTTAAAAATCGTAAATACATCGATTCTTACTACTAGAGTTGTTACTACCTTCGTGATATTTAAAATTTTAAAGAACGCTTCATTTTTATAAAAAAAAAAATAATAAAAATGTTCATAAACAACTCCTATGCATAAAATTAAAATACTTTTATTTTGGGATCCCAAGAAAAAAAACTATTGCTTTAATAGAATATTGGAAACAAACTTTAACTCCTAAATCCACCCAAATGGGTACCAAAATAATTTATAAGAAAAAAAGAAACATATGTGAAACGTGACTTCTTTTTCCCTCCTAACATCGTTAATATATCATCTCGTGACGTGTCATGCACGTTTCTATCCTTATTTAAAAAAATTTAAAAGAAAAAATTTAGTATTAAAAATACTCGGTAAGCAACTTCATATTAAATTAAGCTATGCATTTAGATTTATGTTGGTAGAACTTTAATATATAAGTGCATATCAATGTTTGTACTTAGAGATGTTGAACATACATCATATTTAGACCATTAAATACGTAACTTTTATGTAACATCACATGCATGAAGTCCCACAAAAACACGACCTTTCCATCAATTTGTGTGACCTTGAACTTGGAGGGCTTGAAATGTACAATCTTGAGATTCTTGATACTTTTATTTACTTTCTATAGTTAATATATTTGACATTCCTTGTGGGAGGCTTGGAGATTGGCTCATGAACTATATATTGGGTCGATTCGTTGTTAGTTCATCTCCCTGTATTTAGCGATCGGTCGAGTGTTGACAATGTAATTTGTTCGTGTTTAGATTGTTTTCTTGCAAGGAGTGGTCTTTACAGCTTTGATTATGGCATTGTGCCTATATTTTTTATTGCAAAAGCCTGTGGTGTAACTTTTACGGTGAGATCTTACATCGATTGAAGAGGGGAATAAATCATTTTTTATAAGGTTAGGAAAGCCTTTCTCTAGCATATATATTTTAAAACCATAAGGCTGATGACAACACGTAACAGGCCGAAACGGATAAATCTACTAGCCCGCTGATTGGTTAGAGAGGGGAACGAAACATTCCTTATAAGGGCGTGAAAATCTCTCCCTAACTGACGGATTTTAAAACTGTGAAATACGCGATTGACCGAAGCGACTAATATTTGCTAATAGTGGATTTAGACGGTTACATTTACTCTTGTTTCCTTTGATTTGGCTGAAGATCGTAGCAGTATGCACTCGTCGGTGTTGATCTGTATCGTGTTACTCGATTTGTTTCCGAGATTAGAGTGGGTCTTGATGTCGTTAAAACTCGAGTCGAGGAGCTGAGGAAGTAGTGTTCTTGTTGGCTTAAATTAAACCACAGAATTGTCTTGCACTGTGGAGAACGATTCTTTATTATGGACCCCTTGCTTTAATTGTATTTGTTCCACATTGTTGGAACTGTACTAACAATCTATTTCCTGCTTGAATGGTGGATTCATGACGAAGGACTCTTTTAACTATGCTGAAATCGAAATCTTTTATTGTCTGCTCAAAAGATAGTCTTTTTGAGAGTGTAACAAAGCTACGATATTATAAAACCATTCCTTAAAACTAAATCTTTCCTTTTCATCACTGTGCACATCAAAGTGTTATATTTTCTTTTCATCACTGTGCACATCAAAGTGTTATATTTTCAGGTGATGGGGATGGGATTTAGAGACATCAAGTTAACATAGTGTGAGGTCCCACATCGGTTGAGGAGGAGAACAAAACATTCTTTATAAGGGTGTGAAAACCTCTCCCTATTAGACCCGTTTTAAAAACTTTGAGGGGAAGTCCGAAAGAGAAAGCTCAAAGAGAACAATATCTACTGGGAGTGGCCTTGGGCTGTTACAAATGGTATCAAAGCTAGACACCGGCAATGTGCCAACGAGGAGGCTGAGCCTCGAAGGGTGGTGGACGCGAGACGATGTGCCAACAAGAACACTAGGGCCCCAAAAGGGGTGGATTGAGGTGTCCTACATCAATTGGAGAAGGGAACGAGTGGAGGTAAGAACGCTGGGGGAAGGAGGTGGATTGTGAGATCCCACGTCGGTTGGAGAGAAGAACGAAACATCCTTTATAAGAGTGTGAAAACTTTTCCTTAAAAGACACATTTTAAAAATCTTGAAGGAAAGTCGGAGGGAAAGGCCAAAGAGGACAATATCGGCTAGGCTGTCTTTTAGCATCACTTATATCTTCCAAATTTCTTGCATTTTCTTGATATTTTTTTGACATTTTCTCAACACTTCCACGATATTCATAAGACCCGTATTTACTTCAAAAACTTTCCGAGTTACGAAAACATCAATAACAACGTATGCATGTCAATAAACATTTCTGCATCATCCTGCACATCAATATAAAAAGATACAAACCTAGAAAGCTGTGAGTATAAGCCAGTTGCATTGGTAAAGAATTTAAGGGAATGGCCACATATCAAACCCCTCAGGCTTCTTCACAAGGATCTGATTGTATTCTGGTCTTGATGTCTGCAGTTGTTTGCCACATTATTAGAATCTCTTAGCTTTTGCACATGAATAGAGGGAGAATAAGAAAAATAGATAATGAACAGTAATCATACTATGGATAATTAACGAGATAAGGATGTTCGTGATCTAATTAATGATAAGGCAAATAAACAACAGAGGAAGTGTTAATGTCAAGTTTTTGCTAAATAATTTATTACAAAGATTAGTTTCAAGAACTAAAAATATTCTTTTTTATAAAATATTTATGAGCTAACATAAAATCTAGACATAAAGAGTATTATAGAGTGTTTGCTCATTTGTTCCAAAGGTTAAAAAAGCAAAAAGAAAAAAAAGCTTTTAAAATAGAAAACTAGAAAGTTAGTAATGGAACGGAGTAAGTATGGAAGTTCTACTTTGTTTTAGAGAAAAAATCTTGAATGAATAAAAGCCCAAACTCAACATGAGCATTCCTACGCTCAACTAACTAACTACTGCACCAAGCGCACTATGAATCTATCTGACTGTTGTTGAAAAGGGAGAGTGAGCCCACGAGTAACATAAACAATGAAATTAATCTTCAATGTTGACGTCTAGGCCTACATAGCGAACAACATCAAGAACTGTGAGATCTCACATCTGTTGGAGAGGGGAACAAAACATTCTTTATAAGGGCGTGGAAATCTCTCCCTAGCAAATGTGTTTTAAAACCATGAGATTGACGACAATTCGTAACGGACAAAAGCAGACAATATCTTTAACGGTGGGTTTG